GAGAAGTCATTACACTGTCCTCTCATACTGGTTGATGGACACCCACCTTTCAAATTTCCTTCATTTCTTTCACATTTCTTCCAGTATACTGCCATTTCTTATATGCATTAGCCCTGAAATATGCCTCTGCAGCCCTGTAGAATTACCTGTTTAATCAAACAGTACATGAATACAGAAAATTTTTCAACGCCTATAAATCCCAGCTTTTTCATTTGGATTTATCAACTTAAACTATCATCTGCTCTCTTGAGACGATTTAGGCAAAGACCCATTGGAGAACTTTTACCCCTGACAGGTTTGTATCTCTGTATGGCTTGTAAGAATATTTGATTTTTTACCTCATGTCTGTATCTTAGCCACTGATAGTTTGCTTCTTCAATTTAGTTCTTTGGTTTGTAAATAATCTATATTTCTGACTTACCTTCCTCTCCCTCTCGCTGTTGAGATTAACAATACGGTCTGATGAGCAAGTGACTTGCAGATCTTCATTAACAAAAAGTGTATATAGAAAGAGTACAGTTCCTATCCTATGCCCTACAGGCTGATTCAGTTTGATGCTTTAATTAGTCAGAAATCAGATCTACTTTTAAATATTGTAGGGCTAATGTATTTTTCTCCATACTAAGATGCATGGGATGAAGCAGTGATCTGGGATTTCTAAACCTTAAGTATTTAGTGGGGATGATGCTGCTCAGTGCTCTGCTCTCTATGAAATAACATTACTCTGAGTAGCTGCTGCCTTTTCAGTTTTGTAATTTCTCAATCTCCCACAATGTTTCAAGAATGAGTAAAAGCTTTCATTCGTGCCATTTATCTGCTGAGGTGTGAGACTCCCAGAAAGAACATGACTAGACTGCATGGCCTCAATGAATGCGAAGTATTAAATGGCTTATCTAGTACCTTTCACAGCACAACAGATTAGAGAAAGACCATGTACACTGGCACTTCATTAACTGCTGTCATCTAGCTACAATATTCTCTAGGAACATAATACTGTTTAATTTTTTGTCATGCCACTTCTTCCCTTCTGTTTAAACACCTGATAACATCAGGCATAAAATGGTAAGTAGTTCAAATTTTGCTGATGTTGGAAGACTTTAAAGCATGAATTTCAGTTTTTAGCAGATTGAAGGACAAGAAAGAGTATATCCTCAAATATTCACTAGGTTCTCTGAAACTACTTATGTATTGGGCTACTATGATTATATATTTGGATCCCTGGTTAACTAATAAATAGCAATGTTGCATCTCTAAATTTAGTCTTTTATTTATAACCTTGACAGCACAGATACAGGGTAGATTTTAATAATGGCTTTAAACCATCTTTATTAATCCTCTTCATCTCAGGCTTCACCAGGGTGCAGCTATAGGAATCTGATTAAATTGGACTCACTACATCCGATATCACCCTCACAAGAAGCCAGTTCAATTTTTCTCAGACATCATACCCTAGTATCCACATTGCTCACCAGATGTTCTGGGATGCATGCTGGGACAGGACTCACTAGCTGCCGCTCAGGATTATGACACTAGATAAACCTGTATTGTTCTACACCACAGTGTTTGTAAGCTTTTAAGCACCCGTGGAAAAGGAGGTGCAGCTATGCTTATAAAGATCATTCCATTTAATGAGCAAAGATGAGCTACAATGTATGGTAATGCACATCAGAGCAAGGTACTCTGGAATAAAGTCTTGGAGCAGTACACTACAGAACTTCTGCAATGATGGGTTGCAGAAGCATAGCTGTCCTCATGTAAACAAACACAAAACATATTGAGCTCATAAAAATAATAACATTCAAGAGATTTTGACACATAGGCCCTCTGATTTTTTTTAGTTAATTTTTGTTTGAATCAAAACACGTCTTTTAGAACCCATTTAATTTTGTTTTACAGATTTCTTATGATTCTTCCCCATCACCACTGAAGCTAAGCTGTTAAAATGACCAGTCACACACTGCCAAAAGTACAGAGAGCTCATCTTGTATTGTTGTTGGATTTTCTTACATGTATATCTTCTACACTGAAGTGTATATATAATGTTCTAATGCCTCCAGCTTCCATTTTTTTTTCTTTAATAAAAGCATAGAAATAGTCTTTTTCTTATCTTTTTGGATATTGCAGTTATATCAAGGTGTACTGGTTTTGGCTGGGATGGAGATTATTTTTTCACAGTGGTTAGTATAGGACTGTGTTTTGAATTTATGCTGAACACAGGGTTGATAATATAGAGATGTTTTTGTAATTGCTAGGCAGTGCTTTTCATACTGCCACACTGGCAAAGAGGCTGGGGGTGCATGGGAAGCTGGGAGGAGACACAGCTGGGACAGGTGACCCAAACTGACCAAAGGGATATTCCATGGAATCATGCTCAGTATATAAAGTGGGCGGAAGAAGAAAGAAGCATAGGGGGACATTTGGAGTGATGGTGTTTGTCTTCCCAAGTCACTGTTAGACATGATGGGTCCCTGCTCTCCTGGGCATGGCTGAACACCTGCCTGCCCATGGGAAGCAGCGAATGAATTCCTTGTTTTGCTTTGCTTGCATACGTGGCTTTTGCTTTCCCTATTAAACTGTCTTTATCTCAACGCATGAGATTTCCAGCTTTTACCCTTCTGATTCTCTTCTCAATCCTACTGGTGGAAGAGTAAGCACTTGGCTGTGTGGTACATGGTTGTTGGCTGGGGTTAAGCCATGACACAGGGCTTGCTGAAAATCAGTATTAAAAGTCCAAAATGCTACTCATATTTTTTTTTTTTAATTTGAGCTCTAGTTTTTAAAAGTTATCAAGAACTGTAGATTAAAAGTATATGACATTAATGGCTCCTGTTTGATATCCTATTGAGTTACTGTTGAAATTGAAAGTATTTTATCACAGTCATGCTCTGACATCAATTTTTGATCTTTCTCCAAGTACAGAACTAAGCTGAGCACTATTCAATATAAAATATACTTCCATAGAGATTGCACTGCTGAATGCTTCTGGATTTTTATGCAATGCTATTGATAACTCTACTGTTACTACTTTAATAATGGACCTGTTGCCATCCCTTTCATTCTTGATATGAGAAATGAAAGAGTACTTTTTATTACTTGTCACTCCACTCATTGTTATTATGTCCTTTGTTTCCTTACTACGTTTTACAAATTCCTTGCTTCTAGTTTGCTATTAAATTTTTGTCCTTATTCTGTTTATCATAGTTATTTTCACATTTACTCCTAGCTAAGCTGAATATTTTTACGTGCGTAATATTTTTTTTTTTAAGTTGTAATTCTAGCAGAACATTATTAGATTGTTCCCAACACCATCCACATTTCTTGAATTGAAAATATTTCTGCAAGGGTTATGACTCCTAATTATCTCAGGTCTATAATAGTGGACTTTTCAAGCAGCACTGTGTGTATGCGTGTCTAAATACATCATTTCTTTGTTATATAAATTACAGAGTATAGTTAATAATTTACTGCATTTTGTGATCAATTCCTCTATCAATCACAATGTGAATTAAAGCAGGCATCGTGTCATGCAGATGTCATCTTTGCCTCTGAGATTCTCCCTTCCTGTCCCTTTTAGTGAAAATTTCCTCCCATGACAATGTATTACTTCGGGAGCTGGAGAACTCACTATGATGGAGGGTATATTGTTTGCCTCTACTATCAGACTGTATTACCTTCAATGATCCCAATGATCCCAATGCTTCTGCTGTGGCGGGAAACATGACTATGTATCAAACCCTCTACAGGATTTTATCCAGCCACTTCGGTTTTTTCCTAGCCTTCTATTCTTCACTTCTCTACAGCAAGGGCTCAGTAATGCTTCTACACTGCATTGCTGCCATATACTACCGATTTTATAATAAAATAATATTTGTCTCCTGTAGAAAAAAAAGCAATATATGCCATAGCTCTCCAGATTATTGATATGTACTGCCAACATTGTGGTATAATGTTGGTGTATTGTGTCAAGTTGGCTTTGTTGATTTTCAATACCCTATAAAAACCACTATTAAGTATTTAAAGAACTCACCTTTTCCTAAGCTTCAAGCTTTACCTGCAGAGCTTAAAGCCATTTTAATTTGTTACCTGTTTTCTAGAAGTCCCTAGTCTGCTCCTGAGATAATGACTGATCTTACTTTGACTCTTATTTACTCTTTCCATAAATAAAACACAAATTCTGAGTAGCTGGACATTCATCTGTTTGTGGCAGTGGAAGACATGGAGTTTTCTGAAAATGTAAGTGTAAATATTGCAGAACTCAATAGAGATTCATGAATACTACTGATATCTATAGTTTCATACTGACTCTTGTAATTTCTAATGGAAGATTAAAAAAAACTACAATATTTTTAATAGTATTCAATGTTCAGAAACAAATGGGAATAGTTTGATGACCTTCCTAATAAGACTTTAACCTGAAATCTTTTCTCCTCTTAATTTAGGTCAAAGAAGCTCTTTATTTTGCGTATGACTCTGTAACCTTATTTAATTATTCTCTGGATGTAGCTATTATTAAGCCCCTAAAATTTAGCACAGTTCAGCACGTATTTCAGCTGCTTACGCTGGGGAATGTATTTTAATATCACTTCACACTTATTAAAATAAAAATTATTCCAGAGCAAGGATATGCTGCTGCGACAAATGAATAAATTTTAATCATAAAGTGTACAAGTGAAAATTCAACCTATTCGAGAATATTGTCAAAATGTTTTTGTATGATAATGTTTGTACCTGAATAAACATGTTGGGTGAAGTAATTACATGTACTGTAATGATGACTACTAATGCGAAACAACTACCCACAGATGAAAAACAGTAAATGTTGACAGCTTTTTTATTTCTAAAAAGAATAACTTCTAATATATCTTTCTGATACTTCTAATAAAATATTTGTAAAATTTTAAATATATTTCTAAAAAATCATGACTCCTTCAAAACACTTTTTAAAAATATATCTCAATGCTGAAAGAAATTTACTTACCATTTTTTTCTCCCTCTTCTAGATATTCTTAAATGCAGATACAATCCGCCTGGGAAATCTACCAGTGGGTTCCTTTTCCTCCTCCTCCTCCTCCTCCTCTTCCTTCTCCTCCTCCTCCTCACCCAGCTCTTCAGCTCCTCGCCAGACTATCTATGAGCTCTGCGTCTGTCCCAATGGTAAACTTTACCTGTCCCCAGCAGGAGCAGGCTCCACATGTCAATCCAGTAGCAACATCTGCTTGTGGAGCTAGAATGACTCCATTTTATCCTCACACCAGAATAGCCTTTTGTTACTATCCCTCTGCTTCACAGTTCTGCTCGGTTTCCCTTGTGACAAGTTCAACGCTTCAAAAGGCCTGCAGAGCAACTTCTTCCAGTGTAAGCAGGAATACAGCGCTGCCTTCTCTTGTGGTGTGTGGTGCCACTCAACATAGAGATGGGAGTGACATATTCAGAAATAAATGTATTCTTCATCAGGAAACCTAGAACATAAAATCACCTTTTTTTCCAAAAGGGACAATAACACAGGTGCCTTTGCTACTTGAAGTGAAGCACATAGTTTTAGATTTTTGCAGGACCTGGATATGAACTGCACATAAATATATATATATATATATATATATAGTACATAAATTTGCCCAGAATCTGATGTTGAGATGAATTGGTTCCCTCTGTATGATAAATAACTTTACTGTCTAAAAGCACAATTTTCCATTCATCTTTTTGGATGTAAACTTTTATCCCTGAATTTTAAAATTTTGAAGCATTGTGTGATGCTTGCTTTATTACACAAATTCAGTAAATGATTTTTAATACAAAAAGAGACAGAATCCCTCCCTGAGTTTGGTTTCTTTAAATATGTGTTGTTACTCTTTTCCTACCAAGTCTAGGGTTTTATACACTAGGTGCATTTTGGAAGTGCTCAGCAATATTACCTTTCAAAGTTAAAAAACCATATGCTCTTGTTTGTCAGATCTGAATGACCTTATATAATATTTTCATGGCTACTGCATGTGAAGTGATTGCTTCAAGTAAAACATACAATTTCTGGAAAAGAAGAACAGGGTAAAGAAGGAAATTCTGATGATATGTTTGTTGATCAGTGTATTGCTCTTCACAGGGTACTTGTAATTGGCAAATATAAAAACCAAGAGAGAAATCTTCAAAGGTTCATCTTATCCACTTTCTGGCTGTGTCAAACTGCTGCCATTTGAACACAGTAAAAACGTTGGTACTAATGTAACATGTGATGCTGAGAAGCAGTGCACTAACAACTTGTATGACATTCACATTTATTATTCTCTTTTGTTTACCATCTTCTGCTAAGGTTTCAAAGTAATAGTAATATATATAAAATCACATATTAAACAATATTCAGTATTATAAAGTATGTTGATATTACGCTGACTTTATCAGGTCTGTGTTTAAAATATGCAGCCACATTTGCACTCAAAGCTCACTACTGACTTTCTCTTTTGACAAACCTCATGACAGATTTCTTTGTTGTGTCAATGTTCTTACTTGTTTGGCTTGGTTGGTAATTGAAATATTATGAAAAATGCTTTGGTATACTGCTGGTAAATTTGTTCGCAACATTGATTAACAAGAGTATCTTGAAACTTGCAGAACCCAGGAATGTAAAACAGTATAAAAATGCTTCCTATTGTGGAAGATGACTTGATTACATGAGGTAAGTGAGCTTTTTAATTCTATGCTTTAAATTACATCACCTAGCTTGTAGTTTTAGAGGCTTCTGAATGTAAGATCATAAATGAAATGTCAGCTTTTGCAAAGTAATTCTAAAGTCAAGGCAGACAGTGCAAGTTGGGTACTTGTACGCAATTCTTTTTCTTAGAGAAAAAAATGAAAACGAGCAAACTAATACTATGATTGCCTTTGTATTTTATTACCACCTAATTAGGTTGATTTTGTTTTCACTTCAGATGAAATTCACTCCTATGCAGAAGACCAGCACAGGACATGTCAATGGCTTGACTGGTGCTTGCCTTATCTTTGGCCCTCTTCAGAGGTGTGAATTTCACCCCATAGCAAGAATTCTGTATTTGCAGTTTTTACGAGCTAAATTAAGATTTCGAATTGATTATTTTACCACTTCAAAAGAATACCATTAACAGCTGATTTTTTTTTTTTGAGAATTTTATTCTTGGAAAGAAAATATATTAGAAAATATTCCAAGAAAATGTATTAGAACATGAGGATTTTTAGCAAGAGGGACAAAAAGAGATACAAATGGAAAAGAAGATGACAATAAAAGATTAGAAAGTGTAGCCATACAATACACACTTAAAACTGTAGGGATATAGATGTCTTTTTCTTATGTACGCAAGTAATAGAATGGTAGTGTGAGAGTCATGGTTAAATAGTGTTTCAGGAGGAAAAGTATATAGATATGTATGAAGGCACATCTATATGTAGTCATTATCTGTGCACACCTACATACACCTGTTACTGAAAAGATGAACAAACATATTATAGTGACTAATCTATTTGGTGAATTAAAATATGACTTCTTACAATATAAATAACCTAAGGATTTTTTTCCCCCTTAAATAAACCCATGGAATGGCTTGCAGATATTTTGTCATGAATTCTCTACTGAAAAGTTCTTGTTTGTTTGCTTTTTACCTTATGTGATTACTTACCTGTTATACATATAAAAAAGGTTTCTACTCACTGGATGGAAAGACCCAACCTTTATAAATTTTACACAACTTGGGTGGAATGGGCAGGTGCAAAAAAAATATTTTGTTACTAGCTTATTTTAATGAGACTGGAATAATTTGCCACTTGGCATGAAGAAAACTCAGAGCAGATATGTGGATGCTGCATTGGACTCCACAAAATCGAGTAGGTCCACATAGCTCTTCACTGTCAGGATATTCTTTATTGGAATCCCTTCAGTCTGAAGTAGAGAGTATTTAAGAGCTTCACCAACTGATTAGGTAGCATAAAAAATTCTCATGTCTCAGTATTGTGGTGAATTTCATAATATCAATGTTTTACTTTAAATTCATCAAAAACTGTAAGGGAAAAAACCCAGTTTTTATTTTAAAAAGTATTTCTAGCCCACATGATTTCAGGGGTTATTGCAAAAGTGATTTAATGGACTTACAGAACTAAAAATTTAGAATACCATCCTTATGACTGCAATGACATATATGAAAAGACCTTATTGGCTACATGAATTTAATATATATCATAGATTAACCTCCTGTAAAAAATCTATGTCATGATATTATAGGATACTGTCTCTTTCTTGTTTAAAAAAAAAAAAAAAAGAGAAAAATAAAAGCATCAGCCAACCTCTTTGAGCACTGTTATGGTTTTGTATAGCAGTTCATTCATCGTTTAAGTGTTAAGACCAAAGACTGACACTTCTATTATATCTAACACTATGACACTGCTGTTTCTACTAATTCTGTTGGAATGAAGAGATGAGAAGTTGTAATTACAACATGAAACTGTAACATAGTTTAGATTTGTGCAGCATTTTGAGCTGTAGACTGTCACTTTTTTCCAGAGTTTAAATTTTTTGTCAGTGTGTTGCAATTACCTTACTGTTCATGCATAGGAGTATCTTTTGGTGAAAACAAAGGCGTATGTATTCCAAAACTTGCCAAGATATTTATTCTTTCAACTGAAGTTATACTGATTTGCTTACAAAACAGTGGCTTGACTGGATAACAGAACTCACTTTAAATCATTTTGAATGCAGGGGGCTATTAAGTCTGGATTGAAGATACAGCCATAAATGTCTAGAAGGATTTAATGAAGGATGTTTAAGATATTTGGTTGCTAACATAATGTATTTTTTAGGGTTTTTTTGTTTTGCTTTATTTTTAGATTCTAAATAATTGCTAAATAAAAAACAAATTAAAAATCCACAAACTAGACTGGAATTGTTATCAGCTGATTTACCGTAATGTACATGAAAGTTGGATTAAAGTTTGAGTGTCATATTGTTTCTATCAGTACTCAGTAAAGGTCTGCTAACCATTTTTGTTTTGTAACCTTCATGTTAATGATTTTCTTATGTATATAAATATATATAAAAAGATGGAAACTATTTTCTTACACATACTATGCAATATGTTTGTAGAACTGCAATATTACCAAAATTACAAAAGCTGTGCTTTTGTACTCTCTTGCTTTATGTAAAACAGATCTTTTTTCTATTCAATGGACTGTCAATCTTAGAATTGTGGATAATGTTATTCAAAAGCAGTACACTAAAATTTAAAGATTTTTTATTTTCTTTTCCTTGGATTTTTTTGTTTTATGAAAATAATAGCAAGGTTTTGGAAGTTGGAAATTGCTTTTTCTTGGAAAGCTAGACTTTTACAGCATGTAATTAATGCTGTCAGTTTAAAATGTCTCCTGTACTTCTTTTGTTTGGTCTTAGCGTTTTCATCTGGTGCTACTATATAACCATAAATAAATGTAATGCATTAAATAGAAAACTTATAAGAACTAATTTCAAGAAAATCAAGCAGGAAAACTTCTAAGGGTGAGAGGAAGATATAGAGCAGCCAGTGAGAAACTTTTAAGTTTTCTCTATATTTTTATTTGATAGATTTTATTTTTGGTAGTTTGTGTTTCCTTGCTTCTGTCTACATTAGCAGCATGGTAATAGCTTTAATTTGTTTTTCAATAGCTTTGTCCTCACACACAGATTATAGTAGAGTTTTATTTCAAAATTTTTTTTAAAACAACAGACACTGCATTTAAATGCAGTACTTATGTTAAGAAAATCCAATTTTTAAAAAGTATAGGCTTTATTTCTACATCAGCATTAGTAAAAAGTCCTCAAGCACAAGTCCTATGAGGAGAGGCTGAGGGAGCTGGGGCTGTTCAGCCTGGAGAAGAGGAGGCTCAGGGGAGACCTCATCACTGTCTACAACTACCTGAAAGCAGGTTGTAGCCAGGTGGGGGTTGGTCTCTTCTCCCAGGCAACTATCAGCAAGACAAGAGGGCATGGTCTCAAGTTGTGCCAGGGGTGGTTTAGGTTAGATATTAGAATGAATTTCTTTACAGAGAGGGTAATCAGACATTGGAATGGGCTGCCCAGGGAAGTGGTGGATTCTCCGTCCCTGGAGATCTTAAAAAAGAGACTGGATGTGGCACTTAGTGCCATGGTCTAGTAACCACAGCGGTGTTGGATCAAGGGTTGGACTTGATGATCTCAGAGGTGCCTTCCAACCCAGCTGATTCTATGATTCTGTGATTCTATGAAAGTCAAAATTATGGTACTGCACCTCATCTACCATGAAAGCATATTACACTGCTCAAGTTCCTTTGTAGCTTGCCAGAATAAGGTTACACTGTATGTTTATGTTTAAACTGCAGCAGTTTACAAGCCACTTGACAACTACACAGCCATGTAAGAGGTCTTGCAGTGATGTCAGTAATGCAAACAAACCCCCTCTGTTTAAAATGGGTAGTGTCAGTCCTGGTAACAGTACAGCCTTGCACAAAGCTATGGCAAAAAGCAAGGTGATCATTTGGGTGGTTTGATTGCACTGAGCTCCTTGGTGCCCCATTACAATTTCAGCAATATGCACAGTAGCCAGACAACAGCTAGCTTCACAAGGCGTAAAAAACAAATGGTAATTTTTGTACAGGAGCCACAATTTTATAGAACTATCAGTAGTATAGGTCCTGATAAGTCTCAAGTGACTAAAACACAATAGCTGATACTGCTAGAAAAAGTATCCTTAGCCATTTTACTCAGGCTTGGACTAGTCCAATCTGGGGAAACCTACTGGCGGTTACAGATAAATGGAAGAGATAGTGAAAGAAAATCCACCATAAACATTTTCTTGATTTGATACAGTCCACACTGAGACTAAAATTTAATACATGTTCTCTGTGTAAAATAGGGTCTCTTCTGAAACTCTCAGCTGAGCTTTAGATTATGTTGTTTGAATTTGAAAGTATTATTTGATCCTTAAGCAATACATTTCTTACATAGGCTAGGACGAAGTAAAGTTTCAGAACAGCTGAGATAAAAGCTTATGTTGTATATCTGGTCTGATTAGAGTCAATTAACTGCAATTGAGTTTGGCCCACTTAACTAAAATTAAAAAAAAATGAAATCAGAAAGTTTTGCTGAGTCTTGGGAAAAGTTTAAGTGTAGTTCACTTTTTTAAGTGTCTAGCTCAACCAGTGTCTCCAATTCTGATGTGTTTAAGCAGTGAGAGTAATTTATATTACAAAAGTTGGCCTTTGACCTAATCAACTTCATTTAATACATGACTTGATCTGAGAAATAAAGATGGCTTTTAGTCACATGCATCCCTCCTTGTTTGTGATATACCTGAGGGAGAAGTCCAGCTTCCAGCATCATTTAGAGTGCAATGAAAAATAGGATTTAGGCACTAGGGAAACATTACTGAAGGCAAGATGTGTTGTTTTCTGTGCTTTATGATATTATGACAGCTTGCATACAGTCATTCTTTGCCACTAAGAGATCTGCGTTCTACCACAATAATTATTTTTCAAAGTATATTTTCCAGAACTATTCTGAAAAAAAAACAAAATTGGTTTCTTTCTAGGTGAGGTTTACTTGTCCCAAACACTGCAGCAGTTACTGAAAGTGAAATCCTCCTCCTTAACTCCCTCCCACTCTTAACTCTTCAGCTGAGCTTCAATTGTCCCTTAGCATTCTCCTTTCTTCATAAATAACGAAAGAATAGACAACAAAAAGAATTTAGCTATCTCTTTATCAGGGTCCTTCCTGTGTGACTTACTGGAACTGTATCAAAAGGAAAGTTTCTATCAAAGAGGAAGATTATTTGCTTTGTGACAACAGAAGTTACATAAGAAGGAAAACAAACACAGGTAAATATCAATTTTAGTCTGACTTCCTAGAAGAAACTTACTAGCGTGGAAGTTTTTAGACTATAGACTTCTTAATAACTTTTAATTTCTCAGAAGTTTTGTAATTCGTTGAATTTATTTAAAATACCATAAAATAAATATGCAAACTATGCTATCCTGTTACATTTTAGATAAGTAATATAATGGAAAATAGAAAAGGAAGCACTGAGTTCATAATTTGTCCCTCTCTACTAATGCACTTATTTACTTTTTCAAATTTGAAAGTACAAAACAGAGCTAAAATGTTAAATAGTATTTAGATAACTATTAAAAACCCTACTAATAATGGAATGTTCCTTTAGTTCATGGCTGACATTCTTATTCATCCTAGGTAAATTAATGCTCTAATTCCTTTTACAGTGGCATGCCTTTCTGTTGTTTGTGTGATCTTTGGGAGATAGGAAGCCCCTGATGAAAAAGGTAATAGAATATCTATACAGTACTAGAAGAACCAACAGTGATAGTATTTCTCATCCTACAATAGAACTGAACAAGATGTGGGGACCTTTACTTATCTGAGGAGAGAGGGTCTTCTACAGTAGTTTTATATTTTGAAGAAAATAGTCAGGATGCTTTCCAGATCTGTATTCTCCAGGGTGACTAAGACACAGCATTGCAATAACTTTTGATGGACAGACAGAAAAGCAGTGGGTTTCTTTGGTCTGCATGGGAACAGGTAGGACAGTGGTACATGAAACCTACCTGAAAGAAAGAGCTGAAAACAGGCCAGTACAGTAGGGAGGATTCAAACACTGGTTAAGAAAATAGGAAATTCTGACAAATTCTGTGTCTTTGAATTAGGCTTTAAATGTTCACTAAAAGTTTATGCAAAAAAAAATTACCCATGACTTTGTACTGTGTATTTCTAAAATGTATCATTAATATTAGCATAATTTTTCCTCTGCAAATTGTTCCCACTTCTAACTGCAGGTAGTACTTTGACTCCCCCACAAGGAGAACTCCAAACCATTGTGCAGTCTTCACTCATTTGTCAAAACCACTTTAATAGGTTACAAGATGTCCAAAATGAGCAATAAAAGAAAATGATAAAAAAATCTACTGCCACTGCCTTTTCATATTTCAGTCCAGTGTTTTGCTCACAGTCAAGAAGATACACTGGTTCTGAAAGCAATAGATTCAATATTCCTCATCTTCCCAGTCACTTTTAAGAGGCTCTGCAGACCATGCTGCTTCCCTTCCCTTCTCCACAGGAGGGTAAAATAGGGGAACTAATTCTTCCCACTGGGTTTGGACTTGATTTTTTTGCATGGTGTATCTTTAGACTTACCTTAATCTGTATTTTTTAAGTGTAAAGGGGAGAGAAAAATCTCATGGCAGCTGCTAAAACTGAGATTATTAATTGGGGCAAGGAGTAGGTTATTGCTTGAGA